ATTCAGTCAAGTCAATGTACTTAGAACAAAAGTAGATATATAGAGTTGTGCATTATTAATGAGAAGAATAGTACAAACAATTTCTACTTACAACCCTTATTTACAAGTCCCAATTACCCCTAAACCTACGTGAAAATGGCTTTCTCAAACCTATAAGAGTAGAGATTTTTTAAAACCTATAAGAAACCAATGGGTTTCCCAAACCTACTAGGAGAACTAGTATAACTAAAATTCACAAAAATTCAAGAAATAATTAAGGGTTTAAAATATCCCTCAATAATTTGAGTTGGTACAAAATTATCTTTCATCCTCATTTCAGCCTTCAAATACGTCTGATGTTAATCTTTTGGCTCAAGAATATCCTATATATAAACATTTGGCTCATATTTGCCTTTATTTTTAACAGCTCTCCTAAAGTAAAATTATTAAATATGTATTAATTTATTATGTTGCCTAATTTGATTGGTTCAAATTTAAACTCTTCTCAAATAAATAATAAAAACTACTTATGATTCGTATTTTTATCCAATACAGTTGAAAATAATATTAATTTCATGATATTTTTCTATTGATATATTTATCAATTCATGTTTATTATAACCCAATTGATTATTATCTTGTGGAGACTTAGAGGGTGTTTGAATTGACTTAAAAGTTGGTTAAACCTACTTTTAAGTCAATTTATGATTTCTGGAAGTGTTCGACAAATATTAAAATAACTTAAATTAAGTCAAAAATAACTTAAAATAAGTTAGGAAGTGTTTGACAAGATTAAAAATGACTTAAAATAAGTTAAAAACCAAAAGTAGGTTAAGTTTAACTTTTTTATTTCTGACTTAAAAGCTACTTTTTTAAGACAATTCAAACGGGCTCTTAGTTTCACTGACACCGCCATAATCTGTTTCTATTATTGCCTTATCCCTTTAAGACTGTTTTCTAATAGAAAGATTCATTGAATGTCACATCTATATATGCCTATTTATATTATCCTAGGTTAAGGGATCGAGTTTATTATGAAAAGTCATATGACCATTTTAAATAATGATTCCTTTAAATATTTAACTTCAAGGATCAAAACCACACATTTTGCATAATTGAAAGTTCAAAGAAACCAAAGAGAAATGAATTTGAATTTGAGTATCACAATTCACAAGAGGGAGAACGAATTTGAGGGAATGAATTGTAGTTTATCTAATTTAGTTAATAATTGTAGATTATGTAATTTAATTAATATAATTGTAGATTATATGATATTTAGTTAATAATTGTAGATTATGGCATATTTTCAGCTTTCACAAGTATATATGAATCTTTCCATTTATATAGTTCATTTTAACCCAACATATTTCAATCCAAATAATATTTAGATAGATTATTGACTCATATATTTATCATCTAAATCCATTTTAACTCATGTCAATCTGCTTATACCCCTAATTTATTTAAGAGAATTATTAAATATTACAGGACTTATTTGCTGGTGGTACTGATTCACCGATAACAATATTAGAATGGGCAATGGCAGAAATACTTAGACAACCAGAGATTATGAAGAAAGTCCAACTTGAGCTTGCAGAAGTCGTTGGAAAAGGAAAACTAGTAGAAGAATCAAATATTCCTAAACTCCGTTACTTGCAATTCATTGTTGAACTTAAGAATGCACCCACCAACTCCATTTTTAATACCCCGAAAAGTCGAGCAAGATGTTGAACTGTGCAACTACATCATCCCAAAGGGCTCACTGATTCTAGTTAATGTGTGGGCGACTAGTCGAGATCCTACTTTTTGGAAGGACCCTTTGGAATTTAAACCTGAGAGATTCCAAAGTTTAGAAGTGGATGTGCGAGGACAAGATTTTGAATTGATTCCTTTTGGTGCTGGTCGAAGAATATGTCCTGGTTTACCATTGGGAATGAGATTAGTCCAAATAATGTTGGGTTCACTCTTGAATTCCTTCAATTGGATACTTGAAGGAGACATTGAGCCAAAAGACTTAGACATGGAGGAAACATTTAGTTTCATCTCATCCTCTGCGAGTTATCCCATCTCCTCTTTTGATATTTACAACAAATCATATATTTGGCATACAATGTTGGTATAATGTAATAATTCAGTGCAGGTAAGATTTACTACGGTTGTTGTTTTTTTCAGGTTATGTTTTTTGGTCCTCTTTTGCACTTGAAAGTGTCTTTTCTAATAAACGTCCTGTCCGTTAATCAATCCAAATTTTCATTCAATGCAAATACAGATGGAGAAAAGCTACTAAATAGAGTTTAATTGATGGTCCTATCCTTCGAGATGGCTCAGTTAGCTCAATTGATGGTACTATATAGAGTTTAATTGATCCCTCTCAATGTCTTCTGAATCGAGCCTATCACATAGGATTTGTCTAATGCGGTTTACATTCCTTGTGTGGTTTGCAGGCTATTACACAGTGCGGGGTTTATCCAATGCTCACCCAAAAGGGCAGAGGTTGTGTCAAAAATTATAGCGACGGCGGGTTATCTTGGGGTTACCAAAAAAATTGATGGTCCACTTGATATTTAATTTTTCAAACGGGGACATATATTCGTCTCCTTGGGTTATCTTTCATTTCTAGCATATTATTTCTTCCTCTGTTGATGGAAGCTTTTGACTATGTTTCCTTGTCAAAATTGAAAAAAAATAAAATTGGTAAATGATATTTGAAAATTAGTAATGTCTGGTTATAACTACAAATTAGAGTTGTTTTTGACTTTTGTGAGTAGTTTGGTGATAAAGAAATAAAACAACTTTTTGTTGTTTATCGATAATTATTTTTATTTATTTTTCTCCAAATGTTAGGATTTTTATCAAGTCAATTTTAATAACATTATTTTTGTCACAGTCGGTTGAATATGTTCAAGTATTTGTTCAGTTTGATTAACTCATTATTTTTTGTTAAATTGTATTTTTTATATGTCATTCATTTATTCGTTACATTTGTTAATATTCATTTTATTTTTTACTTTTATTAATATTCATTTTGGTGTTATTTAGCACAGTCTAAAAATATATTTAAATACGAATAAGAATTGCATACACAAATATTTTATTAATCAGTAATTTTGACCCACAATTTTAAGATCATGATATTGTACAAAGATGTTTTTAGATTTTCTATTTAAATCATTACTTGGTGATAAAGTTAGATGTTGATGGATAAAATATTTAAAATTAGGATTGAATAATTTTCTGATTTTCTAATTCCCAAAAACTGATCTCACTATTCATTGAATAATTTGTGTATATTTGTGACGATTTTTACTCTTCAGGTGCTATTGTTTGTTAAATATTATCTCAATTATTATTTGTTGGACCAACTTGGATCTTATTTTAAAGTTTTTTTAGCATATGCTTATTTTTTCAGGTTTTGGTCTTTTCAATGAACATTACTTCCTCCATTCCATTTTATGTGAAGTAGTTTGACTCGATACGGAGTTTAAGAAAAAAATGAAGACTTTTAAAACTTGTGGTCCAAAATGAATTATAGAAATTTGTGTTGCTGTAAATCATTTCATTAAAGATAAAATAGACATTCTATAGCTAAATTGTTACTTAATATAAAAATGTGTCATTGTTTTTATTGACTAAAAAGGAAATAAGTCACATAAATAAATTAGGACAGAGGAAATACTATTTTAGCTTTATTTATGATTGTATTTTTGTTGACTGTTGCTTTATTTAGCTCGATTTGATTTTTGTCTTGATTATTATCTTACTTATTTGCTCTATGATTATGTGTTACTAACATGTTTTATCTTTGTTTTAGCTATACTTATCATAATTTAAATTTATTTATTTTTGGCTCTGTTTTGACTATCAAATAAGCTGGGCATTATTTTTTATTTTATTTCCTCATTATTTGTTGAGTTGTTACCTATCATTTATTATTGATTTGGATCATTGTTAATATTATATATTTTAATTAATATTGTGTTCATGTTTATTTGAAAAATTGCTCCCATAAATTTATATTATTTTGGTTCTCTGGAACTTGGTTGCTCTAAACTTGTATTCCTGAATTGTGGTACTGTTATTTTGTTGATATTAAATTGATTCTTGTTACATGCATGTAGGCTATTTTTATTATTGTTGATGTTAAATTGATTCTTGTTATATGTTGGTAATTTGCTACTGTTAGCTTGTTATTTTATAGTTTTTTTTTTTCCTTCAACTTAAATTGTTACGAGTAAAATTGACCAATGAAAAAATCTCTCCGTCGATTTTCGAGGTCTTTCCACTTTAAAAAATGGTAAATTTAATTTAAGTTTATATACTTTGTATGTTAAAAATGGCCGATAAAGAAATTACCATTCATTTCCAAAGTCTCCCATGTTCATAAGACAGATTTTTATTTTTAAATTATTATTTAATTCATTTATTTTCACTCATATTTATTTATTACTAACACATTCACTAAGTTTCTTTTCCAAGAAGCTACTCGAATATCCAATATGCAATTTTTTGAAGGGTTCAATTTTTTTATTCAAAACAAATTTCATGCCTCAAGTATACGACTATTACCATGTCAGTAAAAAAAAAACCTACTCTTTATTTTACTTAAACTAAATATGACTTATATCCTTAAGAAAGTAATGTATCATTGGAAAAAGCTGACTCCGGATTTGAAATAAAATAAAATAAGACTTCGCTTTTGAAATAAAATAAAATACAAAGTTGTTATAAAATAACTAAACTTAGCTAACTATATTAATGAACTAATAAACAAGAAGAACAAAATAAAAATTGAGAGGCAAAGCACTTAAAGTATAGAAGAGAGAGTGAACTAGATTGTTATTACCGTGTATCTTTCCTAAATGAATTTGATTTCCTTATTTATAGGCCAAGTACATGTGGCAATGTGTGGCTTGCAAAAGTTAACCACACTTTGGCATGAGTTATGCATTCCAAGCATGCTAACTCCACACTTAATCACATGGCATCTACCATTTCACAACACTCCCCCTTGGATGTCCATGTAAAAGAAAAGTTAAAAGAACAAAAATATACATAGACATTCATAATACGCATTACTTGCTACCTCATTAAAAACCTTTCTAGGAAAACCCAGTGGAACAAAATCTAGACTAAGGAAAAAAGAGTGCAACACGTATTTTACTCCCCTTGATGAAGACCACGATTAGATGATTAAGTTTTCGCATTTCAATCTTGTGTACCATCTTCTCAAGAGTTGAGGCTAGTAAAGACTTAGTGAATAAATATGTTAAATTATCACTTGAGCAATTTGTTGTATATCAATATCACCGTTCTTCTGAAGATCATGAGTGAAGAATAATTTTGGTGAAATGTGTTTCGTTCTATCTCATTTTATGAAGCCTCCTCTTAATTGAGTTATGCATGCAGCATTGTCTTCAAAGAACAATGTGGTTACCTTGACATCACACTTCAAACCACATCTTTCTTTGATGAAATGTATCACTAATCTCAACCATATACATTCTCTACTTGCTTCATGAATGACTATTATCTCAGCATGATTTGAAGAAGTAGCGACAATGGACTACTTCGTAGATCACCATGTTATAGCAGTACCTCCGTCTGTGAACAAATAACCTGTTTGAGATCGAGCTTTATATGGGTCAGATAAATAAGTTGCATCTGCATGACCAACAAGATCTGCACTAGCTTTGTTAGTATTAAACAGACCCATATCACTAGTCCCCTTTAGATATCGCAATATATGTTTAACTCCATTTCAATGTCTTCGTGTAGGGGAAGAACTATATCTTGCTAATAAATTAACAGAAAATGTTATGTCAGGTCTCGTAGCATTAGCAAGATACATAAGTGTGCCAATTGCACTAAGATAAGGTACTTTAGGACCAAGAGGTTCCTCATTCTCTTCTTGAGGTCGGAATGGATCTTTACTCACTTCAAGTGATCGGACAACCATTGGAGTACTTAATGGATGTGCTTTGTCCTTTTAAAATCGTTTCAAGATTTTCTCAGTATAGGCAGATTGATGGATGAAGACCCCGTCTGTTAAATGTTCTATTTGTAAACCAAGACAAAGTTTTATCTTTCCAAGGTCTTTCATCTCAAATTCTTTCTTTAGATAGTCAATTTCCTTTTGGACTTCTTCTGGAGTTCTAATGAGAATAATTTCATCAACATAACCATCAAGAATAACAAACCCTGATGTTGTTTTTTTAATAAAAATACAAGGACAAATGACATAATTTATATAATTTGTTTTATCAAGTACTCACTAAGGCAATTATACCACATGCGCCCTGATTGTTTTAAGCCATATAATGACTTTTGTAATCTGATTGAACATATTTCTCGAGATTTTGAACTATATGCTTCAGGAATTTTAAGTCCTTCTGAATTTTCATATAAATTTCATTATCAAGTGAACCGTAAAGATAAGTTGTAACCACATCCATCAGATGTATTTCAAGGTTTTCATGTACAGCTAAACCGAAGAGATATCGAAAAGTTATTGCATCCATAATCGTGAATATGTTTCTTCATAGTCGACATCGGGTCTTGAGAGAACCCTTGTGCCACAAGGCGTGCCTTGTATCTTACAATTTCATTTCTCTCATTTCTTTTTTGTACAAAGACCCATTTATAGCCAATTGATTTAACATCACTAGGCGTTTGGACTATTGTCCAAAAACCTCACGTTTAGCAAGTGAATTCAATTCTGATTGAATTGCCTCTTGCCATTTTGGCCAATCACTTCTTCGTCAACATTCTTCAACAGATTTAGGCTCAAGATCATCACTGTCTTGCATAAGATTAAGTGCAAATCATATGCAAAAACATTAGCCACTATAATTTTTTATCGATCTAAATTTAACCCATCACCATAGAACTTATTGAAAGTTCTTCATTCACTTGAGTCTCGGGGTTCACTGATATCTTCAGGAATATCAGGATTAATCAGACTTGAATCTCTTCGTGGGATTCTTTTATAGTGTCATTTTTGTACTTCTTTTTCTAGGATTTTTATCCTTTGAACCCAATGGTACCAGCTTCAAGCGGTATTGGATTCAGAAGCATGACACTTGTAGATTGTCCTTTGGGACGTCAATTCGGATAGGCACATTCATGGGGATATGTGAACTTTGTTATCTTTTTCAAATCAGTAAATGTGTCTGGCATTTGATTTGCTATATTTTGCAATGGATGATCTTTTGAACTCCTGTTCACACATAGGGGAACGTGTATCAAAATGAGATAGTTATGAAACTTTCCATGCAATTTCACTTTAAGTTTTTTTTTTCTCTCCCTTAATTGCGGAAAAATGTTTCATCAAATCACAATCTGCAAATCTTGCAGTGAATAAATCTCCCGTCAATGGCTCAAGGTAGCGAATTATGGGAGGGTGAATCAAACCCAACATATATGCCTAACCTTCTTTGGGGGACCATTTTAGTGCGCTAGGTGGTGTTATTGCACATATACAGCACATCCAAAAATTCGTAGATGAGCAATATTTGGTTCATGATCGAATACCAATTGTGACAGAGAGTATTTATTATAGTGAGTCGGTCTGAGACGAACAAGTGATGCTGTATGTAAGGTAGTATGACCCCAAACAGTAGTAGGTAATTTAGTTTTCATCAGTAGAGGTCTTGCTATCAATTGTAAATGCTTAATAAATGACTCAGCAAGGCCATTTTAAGTATGAACATGAGCTACAGGATGTTCAATTTTATCCCTATTAATAAGAAATAATCATCAAAAACTTGGGATGTGAATTCTCCAGCATTATCAAGGCGAATTGCCTTAATGGGATAATCTGGGAATTGCGCTCTTAATCATATCATTTGTGCCAATAATTTTGCAAACGCCAGGTTGCGAGATGATAAGGGGCACACATGAGTCCATCTTGAAGATGCATCTATTAGGACCATAAAATATCTTAACAACCCACTAGATGAGTGAATAGGCCCACAATATCCCCATGTATACATTCTAAAAATTGAGGGGATTCAACGTTAACCTTCATTGGTGATGGCCTAGTAATCAATTTGCCTTGACAACAAGCAGCACATGAAAACTCATCACTCGTAAGAATCTTCAGGTTCTTTAATGGATGTCCATTTGAGTTTTCAATGATTCGTCTCATCATTATTGATCCAGGATGACATATTCGGTCATGCCAAAGCACAAAAGTTTTTAAGTCAGTAAATTGCTGGTTTACGATAGAGTGTGCTTCAACTGTACTTATTTTTGCATAATATAAGCCAGAAGATAAAGTTGATAACTTCTCCAACACATATTTCTGGTTTGAGACAATCTTGGTAATACCAAGGTATTCAACATTCATTTCATTTATTGTCTCAACATGATATCCATTTCGGTGAATATCTTTAAAACTTAACAAGTTTCTTGGGGATTTAGAAGAGAACGAATGCATCTTCTATAATAAGTTTTGTCCCTTTAGGCAGAAATATAGTAGCTCTTCCGGAGCCTTCTATTAAGTTTGAATTACCAGAAATTGTAGTAACATTTGCTTTCCTTCTAAGCAAGTAAGAAAAGTATTTCTCATCTTTGAATATGGTGTGCGTTGTTCCACTATCAAGTACACAAATATCTTCATGATTAATCATTGATCCAAACAAAATTTGAAAGGTATCCATATATTCTTCAAGATAAAAGATATAAACAAAGTATACATTATAATATTATTACTAAAAAAAAAATACTACACAACCTTTTACTTATTTACAAGACTAGGAAAGCATATTCATACTAGTTCATACAAACGACGGAAGTGAAATATATTTACATTATTACAGACCCATCATCTATCAGGTGATTTATTTTTCCTTTGGGATTCTCAAAGAAATCCGCTACGTCTAGATGCATGGGTTCAACATTATCTTCACAGATAAAGTTGGTTTCTACGTTATTTTCACCTACTTCAGGAAAGCTTGATACAACTCAACCAGGTGCCTTGGTGTACGACAGGTACGTGACCAATGCCCTTTTCCACCACATCAATAACATTTGTTGTCTGAATTTTTCTTATGCACCACTTCATGTTTTTCATCCTTCTTTTTACATTGTTGATGGTGAAGGTTATTAGTTAGTTCAAGACGATCACCATGATTGAAATTTCTTCCTCGACCACGGCCACGACCACGACTGGGGCCACGACCTTTTCCACGCTTAGATTGGTGAAAATTTGTTGTATTTACTTCAGGAAATGGCATAGAACAGTAGGTCAACTTTCATGGTTTTTCATTAGTAAGTCATTATGTTGTTCAGCAACAAGGAGATGTGAAATTAATTCTGAATATTTTTTAAATCTCATTTCTCAGTATTGCTGTTGCAGGAGCATACTCGAGGTAGGGAAAATGGAAAATGTTTTCTCCATCATATCATGGTCAGTGATATTTTCTCCGCATAATTTTAATTGTGAGATGATTTTAAACATGGAAGAGTTCTACTCACTGATAGATTTAAAATCTTGAAGTCTCAAATGGATCCAGTGATAACGTTCCACATGACAACTAACTTCAAGTGGTCATATCTATCTTTTAAATTATTCCACAACACCAGAGGATCTTTAATAGTGAGATATTCCATTTTTAAACCCTCATCAAGGTGATGACGGAGAAATATCATCGCCTTAGCACGGTTTTGGTTCGATGCCTGATTTTTTTCTTGGATGGTGTCTGCCAGACCCATCGCATCAAGATGAATTTCTACATCAAGTACCCATGATAGATAGCCTTTTCCCGATATGTCTAAAGAAAGAAATTCAAGTTTAGAAAGAGTTGACATTATTTAAGAAAGGAAAATTTATACCTTCGAGGCTTTTAAAGTCTTTACTTGAACTGGCAGAGACTCGTGCTGATAACGTGTTATAAAATAACTAAACTTAGCTAACTGTATTAATGAACTAATAAACAAGAAGAACAAAACCAAAATTCAGAGGCAAAGCACTTAAAGTATAGAAGAGAGAGTGAACTAGATTGTTATTACCGTGTATCTTTTCTAAATGAATTCGATGCCTTATTTATAGGCCAAGTACATGTGGCAATGTGTGGCTTGCAAAAGTTAACCACACTTTAGCATGAATTATGCATTCCAAGCATGCGAACTCCACACTTAATCACATGGCATCCACCATTTCACAACAAAAGTAATGTATCTCTGCATTGATGTCAATTTTTTATACGCTCAAGATACACCTCACTTTTGATATAATATGATCGTATGCAATGACAGTAACCTAATTAGAAAATTAAATGAAATGGGTTTTTGTTTTTTGTGACACTTTGACCAAGAAAGGGTCAAATCCACTTTAAAATGTAATTAAGTAATCTGGGACCAAAATTAACATCTTCAAAACTTTCTAATCTTTTATAAAATACAAAAAAACACTTCATTTTTAAACTTTTATAATTCTATCCAAACCATTTTTAAAAAAAAGTAAAAGAAAATAGAATTTTATCTTCTTCTTCTCCCAACGTTCTCTCTTCTCTTCTTCTTATTCCTTAGAAAATCCAAAAAATCTGACTATCAAAACAAAAATTCTCCCCCATTTATCTTATCTTCCTCATCATCTTCGACCGTGACTCTCTCCTCTTTCTGAACTGAAGATTGTGTTCGACTTAAAATGGGTAAGTCATTTTTTTGAAAGATTTTACAATTTTCGAACAATGCTAAGTTTTTTTTCTTAGGTTAATGAACAATAAATCCTTCTATAGATGTGAAAAATTTAATAATGGTGTAATTGTACCTAGAGATGTCAATTTGGATTGGTCCACCGTACCCGGGCTAGCCAATACAGGCTTTGAAATTTGACGGGTTAGGCCGGGCTAGCCCATTTTTTGGTGTGGGCCAGAAAATGGTCGGCCCAATCCACAAGTACGTGGGCTATGGGCTTGCCAGGCCAGCCCTCTTTACGTAAAATTATATTTTTTA